CGGTATCTCTCGGACCGCTACAGCTGCCAGACGACTACCTTCCCAAAGAGGGTCCAGGCTGTTGATTGTCTTCTTAAGGAAATCTGAAGTCTCCTTAGTGCTACAGTCAACAACCTTTACCCCTTTGTATGAGGATGTCAGGCCAAACCGCAGGCTCTTTCGATCAACCTCGTCGGATAGGAAGAGGTCCTACAGATGACTGTCGACCAGCTCCCATCTATCCTCACTGATAAACCCGTCGGGGTCAGCTCGGCCGACGACTGCGTGGGTCTCTTTGCAGCAGATTGTTGCTCCTCCGAGGACCTCATTCTCTTGACAGCCGTGGGCTGTGGCCGAGATTTGGCACCCGGGGTAGCAACCACTGCAGAGGTATGCCCAGCAGACGCAGGCACCTGCTTCGCGTTCGCTACCTTCTGCTCATCCACTGGCGACTGCCCAATTGTCTCCGTCTTGGCTGTCGGCTTTGGAAATTCGACAGAAGTTGGATTGACAGAGGGCGGTTGTGCCTTATCGGTCTTCTTGGAGGCCTTTTTACGGGCTCTCCTTCGGGCCGACTTCGACAGTCCCCTGCCTTCTGTCTTTGTGGATGCTGCTGTCTGGGACGTCTCAGTACTCAGTTTACCCTTGGGGGTGCTGAGGGCTTAGACGTCTCAGGCATCAGTTTCCTGGATGTACCAGGGCCATCAGTAGGTTTCTCCTTCTTTGAAGGGACTACCGCTGTGGTCCTAGTACTGGGTCGGGGGATCCTATCAATCAAGAAGTCCCTCTTAATGTCATCAGGATAGTTCATAGAGAACTTCCTAATGAGTTTGAGGTTCCTCTTGATTAACAGGAACTCCTTCCCCGTGATGGAGTTGCTGTCCCGTCCGATGTATCGTTTACAGTAATTTACTGCTCTCCGATACATTTTCTTGGCAGCGATCTCCTTGGCATCGGCTTATCTAGCAGATAATGGTACTGATGTGTCATCCATCTTAACGATGGGGTTCTCATCATTGCCAGCATCTGTTTCGACAGCCAACTTCCTGAGTAGTCTCGCGACATCACTGCAGGCCGTGGAGATCGAGTCGAGATTCTCAACCTTGCCTGGGTTTACTTCCCTAGTCAGCTACTGGGAGGACCCTCCTTGCTTTAGAGGAGACACCATGGTTGCTACTGTGTTTATGTCATCCTCGTCCGACAAGGGTGAGTCATCCCAGAGCTGATTTGGGATGCTCTCCTGACTAAGGCGGAAGGAGCCGGTTTCCTCTAGAAGATTGAGGAGAAGATCCGACTGCCTCTCCAGGCTTACATTAACATCGTCGAGAGAAGGAAAATTGGCTAAAGAGAGGTCCAGGGGGATGGCTTGGGTCGTCAACAGAATGATACTACCTTGTATAATTATGACATGACCTCAACTTTCAACCATTCACCAAATGAAGAGATTATTCAATATTTGAACATCGAATAAAAACCGGCGGTTTTCTACTGGTATAACTTTCGTTGAATTGGGAAAAGCCTTCGACGTTTTCTCAATGAAAGAATGTTTGTTGTCGATGTTCAAGAAAGCAAATCTTCTTCAGGCAATGTTCCAGCTGATGTCCCTCAGGGTTTAGTGCTGCCACCTCTACTGTATTCGCTTTACATCTCCGATTTCAAAACCTCTAAAATCAACGAAGTAGCTTCTTATGCAGATGACAGCGCTATTATCATTCAAGGATATGTTTCTAAATAAACGTTTAGCTGCAATTACAATCGGTTATTTTTATTTTTATACGTTTTTTAAGCCGATTTTTTTAATAAGAATGAGAATATTCAATGTCGGGTAATGTGGACCACTATAAAAAAGTGGGACCTTTTCATGAGGATGCGTTCGAAACATGGGCGCATTTAATATGCGAGGAGGTATTCTATGCTCTGAAAACTTATATGCGTATGTACGCATATAAGAAACAACTTTCTTATATCCGATAATTCCATATAAGCAAAAAAACGCATATAAGAAAGAAATCGCCGGATTTTTTGAGTTTCTCATATCCGATATCTACTGTAACACGTTTTGTGTTCAACTCAAATTCAACTCAATTGTAATAAATGACCTCAACTTTCAACCATTCACCAAATGAAGAGATTATTCAATATTTGAACATCGAATAAAAACCGGCGGTTTTCTACTGGTATAACTTTCGTTGAATTCGGAAAAGCCTTCGACGTTTTCTCAATGAAAGAATGTTTGTTGTCGATGTTCAAGGAAGCAAATCTTCTTCAGGCAATGTTCCAGCTGATGTCCCTCAGGGTTTAGTGCTGCCAGCTCTACTGTATTCGCTTTACATCTCCGATTTCAAAACCTCTAAAATCAACGAAGTAGCTTCTTATGCAGATGACAGCGCTATTATCATTCAAGGATATGTTTCTAAATAAACGATATCTTCTGTAACACGTTTTGTGTTCAACTAAAATTGTAATAAACAATAACAACTACTCGTGGTACATTGAAATGCACTCACTCAAGCGAAAAAAATTGTCAGGAAGGCCACCAAAAGGAATTATAAAACTAGTGAAAACCGTTTTAAGATACTTCAATCATTTGACATTGATAACATTGATAACCACGACTTATCAATGTGCCAAGTAAATAAAACACAAAAAAAAAATGAAAAACAACAACCATCGGGCTGACGATCCACGATGTCCTTGCCGAAAAGAATACTTAGCAATCTGGGAAAACTTAACAAGGAGATATTCTGTAAGAAGGCGCCCTGTTCCGTTGACCTTCGATATAACAGCTAATGAATTTCCACAGGTAAAAAAATCATATTTTACCTCAAACAATTCCGATCCACTCAGACCGGAAAACACGTACTCAAGAGTAATTGAATTATGCACTCAAATTAGCTCATCAACAGCAAAACTTTTTAACATCGATGAATTATACCACATTTTTTCAAAAGCGATATCTGACCGACCTAATTGCAGAACAAAAATTTAACAATTAAATGTTCTTAACAAACAATTAAAATTCATATTAGCTTCCTGATCTTGATATAATAACAACATCAATTGGCGACTCCAACTGGTCACCATGCCATGTGTGCCATGTATGCCATGGAAGCTAAATAAATTCATTTTCATCAATATAAACAATGATAGAAACGCACAATGGTGAAATGTTTCTGTCTTCTTTTCTTACACGCAGCAAACAATTTCGGAAAATTACAAAAAAAAAAAAAAAATTAACGAAATAAAGAATCAAATTCTTTATTTCTTTAATCCGTTCCAAATTAACACAATGTTGTTACATTGCATATAATTAAATCATATTTTGAAACATAAACATACATACAAAATTATGTTATGTATATACAAAACGAAAATATTAATATTTTGTAAACATTCAATTATATTTAAATTTACATCGTCTTTGTGAAGCACATTTGGACTATTTCAAATTATCCTACAAATTATAAATTGTGTTGTGTTTTGGATGTGTTTTTTTATTTAAAGGCGAAACAATTAGTTTTCCCCTGGGCAAAAAAAAATTGACGTTAAACTTAAGTTTTCTCTTTGAATTCGCTTACTGTCCGACCTTATATAGGCCTTGATTTTTATACTTACAATTTATCGGAGCACTCTGTTTTCTTTTGTATTCTTCTGTGTTCGGTGCTCAGCAAAAAACCTCCGAGTATTAAGTTTCAGACAAATTAAAAATTTATGAAAAAATGGAAACATATGACAGAATGATAGGTTGTTGTAACAAACGTCCACTCGGAAACTATGTCCATTGTGATCGTCCTTTATATATATGTGTACCTATAAAGAAAAAGGAAAGAGATAGTGGAAGAGTAGGGAGAAAAAATAGTGAGAAAGAAGGGGGCGGAAGAGAGATTATTTTAGCCAAGTCAATTTTTTGACAAAGCCTAGAATTATCAATTTCATAACTTCCAAACTGTTTATGTCTTCTGCTGATCAGCGATGGACATTTGCAGAGGATGTGCTCAATTGTTTCCAGTTCTTCTTCGTCTAATTTTGCGAAAGATCTAATTTTGCAGTGACCAGTTATAATCCCCACAACGATTTTGATCTCCCTCTTACTGTGTTCCACCAGCGAAGACGTTCTTTTACGAGAGAATTCAGGCCAGACAGATTTTGAGATTCTGCAAGCAGGTTCCCTTAGCCATCTGTTACCAACTACCTCGCAATGGAACGCACGGATTCTGCCAATGAAATAGCTGATGGGAGGTTTCACAGATCTCTCAATCAGAAGATTGGACGACTGTGAGCCCCCTCGAACAAGCTCGTCGGCTATTTCATTCCCTTCAATTTCACTATGTCCTGGTACCAAACATAAACCAACTACCTGTCGTATATCATTGAAAGCGGACTTACAATCATGAACTGCTTTCAAGTAAACCGAGGACCTCATTCTCTTGACAGCCGTGGGCTGTGGCCGAGATTTGGCCCAGCAGACGCAGGCACCTGCTTCGCGTTCGCTACCTTCTGCTCATCCACTGGCGATTGCCCAGTTGTCTCCGTCTTGGCTGTCGGCTTTGGAAATTCGACAGAAGTTGGATTGACAGAGGGCGGTTGTGCCTTATCGGTCTTCTTGGAGGCCTTTTTACGGGCTCTCCTTCGGGCCGACTTCGACAGTCCCCTGCCTTCTGTCTTTGTGGATGCTGATGTCTGGGACGTCTCAGTACTCAGTTTACCCTTGGGGGTGCTGAGGGCTTAGACGTCTCAGGCATCAGTTTCCTGGATGTACCAGGGCCATCAGTAGGTTTCTCCTTCTTTGAAGGGACTACCGCTGTGGTCCTAGTACTGGGTCGGGGGATCCTATCAATCAAGAAGTCCCTCTCAATGTCTTCAGGATAGTTCATAGAGAACTTCCTAATGAGTTTGAGGTTCCTCTTGATTAACAGGAACTCCTTCCCCGTAATGGAGTTGCTGTCCCGTCCGATGTATCGTTTACAGTAATTTACTGCTCTCCGATACATTTTCTTGACAGCGATCTCCTTGGCATCGGCTTATCTAGCAGATAATGGTACTGATGTGTCAACCATCTTAACGATGGGGTTCTCATCAGTGCCAGCATCTGTTTCGACAGCCAACTGCCTGAGTAGTCTCGCGACATCACTGCAGGCCGTGGAGATCGAGTCGAGATTCTCAACCTCGCCAGGGTTTACTTCCCTAGTCAGCAACTGTGAGGACCCTCCTTGCTTTAGAGGAGACACCATGGTTGCTACTGTGTTTATCACCGTAGTTTCCATGATGTCATCCTCGTCCGACAAGGGTGAGTCATCCAAGAGCTGATTTGGGATGCTCTCCTGACTAAGGCGGAAGGAGCCGGTTTCCTCTAGAAGATTGTGGAGAAGATCCGACTGCCTCTCCAGGCTTACATTAACATCGTCGAGAGAAGGACAATTGGCTAAAGAATGATACTACCTTGTATAATTATGACATGATCTCAACTTTCAACATTTACCAAATGAAGAGATTAGTCAATATTTGAACATCGAATTAAAACCGGCGGTTTTCTACTGGTATAACTTTCGTTGAATTCGGAAAAGCCTTCGACGTTTTCTCAATGAAATAATGTTTGTTGTCGATGTTCAAGGAAGCAAATCTTCTTCAGGCAATGTTCCAGCTGATGTCCCTCAGGGTTTAGTGCTGCCAGCTCTACTGTATTCGCTTTACATCTCAGATTTTAAAACCTCTAAAATCAACGAAGTAGCTTCTTATGCAGATGACAGCGCTATTATCATTCAAGGATATGTTTCTAACGTAATCGTTGAGAGAATTCAGGAAGTTTTTTCATTGGTCTCTAAATATTTTTCCAAATGGAAAATAAAAATCAATGAAGAAAATTCTCAAACCATTATATTTCCTTACAATAAGTCCCCCAAAAGAATTTCTTCTATAAACTTAAGGTAAATGGTAAGGAACTCGAATTTTCAAAATCCGTTAAATATTTAAGCGCTATTCTAGTTGAAAAATTAATCTTTAAAAAACATATACAATGTCATAAAATAAATAAATAACTTCTTCTAAATATGCAAACAATTATCCCCTTCGCCGACTTTTTGTTGAATTTAATAAATTAAAAAAAATTATATTACATTTAAATACCTAATATAAAAATATATTTTTGTAAATACTTGTAGTTTTTAGTTCAGTCTGTAAGGGGCTTTGTAATCTATAGACTTAATAAAAAAATAAAATAACTTTTATATTTATTTAAAAAAGAAGAAATAAATCAATTTTTAAAGCGTAGTTTTTTTTAATTCAAATTATTGGCCAAATTGCTACTAAAGTTATGAACTGACGTGCTGAGTTCGTAACTCTTCTGGATTTTCGAAAAAGAATAAAAATTTTAAAGATAAATATTTATTTCATAGAATTGTGCTTACTTACATGCTTCGCTTCCTTTGCGTTTAACAAACGAGTTTGAAATACGGTTCGTATTATAGAGTGTGGTGATGACAGATTTGCGAAAACTAGATTCGAATAGAGATACCATGGGATATGGTACTGATGGTGCACCTAGTAATAATCTAAAATGGCGATCGTTACATTAATCACATTATTTCATTTCCCAAACATTTTAGAAATCAGGGAGTTTATCTATTTTATCATATAGGGAAATAGCAAAATTGAGTTATATTCCCAAGATAATTTAGATACTTACTAATTATTGAATTACCATATAAACTCAAAAATATGTATATAAGCTGAAGACGTCTCACTTGTTTTTCCTTTACAGGTCATTTATGATATAGGCTATATGAACTGTGTATATAGTACAATATTCCTTTGAATATTTTTAATAGAGTTTAAATACCCTTGGGATGATAAATTCTCTAACTGACCATTTTAGATTATACAATAGAAGAACATATACAAACCTTTCTGCAAATATATTATTTATTACAATTACACATGAATCTTGTAAACGCGGGATAAGACACAACAATTTTATATATGTATTTATTTACGAATATAAGATTTATTGAGTTTCTAAATATATCGAAAATGAAAATTATGTTCCATTCAAGGTTTCAATATATACATATAGTTACTGCAACTTAATACGTTTTATGTCCTCCATTCGGAAATCAATCCTATTGAAATAAATAAAAGATTAATACAAAAAAGCATTATTAAAACCAAATCGCAATTCCTGAAAACGCCGTTTGTCCAATTTACAAGTTGTCTAATCAAGGCTCTGTTTCAAAATACTAATTCGATTGATTACGTGCAACACTAAATTAAACAATACAAAATTATATTTTTACGCGAAATAGATTTCATGCTCCCTAGATCTTTTCTTAAAATAAGTCTCTTTTTGCAACCAAAAAATTTTAAAATTCTTTAAATTTCATAAGTATACATTTATAAAAAAGTATTTCATTCCTGCAAAAAAAAAAAAAACTACCGCTGGAGTAAAATGAAGTAACGCCCAGGCAATGAAAACAGTTGCGGAAGATAGCTGTGGAAGTTTCCTAATTCGATATGAAATTAAATCAGTTGTATCAACAATGATGGAAGAGACTACCCAATGTACACTTTCAGGTTTGAAGATTTCAGTATTTGTGGGTCATTAGGACATTTAGTGCCATACAGATTTATTTTAAATGAGGCAATCAGTCCATGTATGAAGATTCTTGGCTCGTAACTGATTGATCCTGACACGCCTGATAATCCATCATATCATACAATGGTTAGGATGATTTCCTTTCTGCTACCCGTACATCAGAAGGAGTGAAATCCCTGATTGGTGAACTCTCTGAAAGTGCGGCGTTTAGCTTGAATGAAATCGGCCAGTCTGATTATGGAATCGATTATGGGGATGTGGTATGAGCCAAGAGGAATTACGTGCTACGTGAGCCATCAATTTGCTCTGCTAACGCTAGGACGGAATGACACAACTCATGGTGAGCATTGAAATCCCTAGTACCAGACGGTTATTGGCCCACAGCGACGTATGGTGTTAAATGTTGCATATTGGGCTGCTGTGGAGGAGACTGAGGTGTAGTTCCGTACTCCGACGAAGAAGATGACATATTGGACGAAGACTCGCTGGGGATTACTCTGTAGCAGCACGAGGCAACGCAATCCTCTTCGTTGTAGTTACGCAACAGATCCTAACCGGAACAATTCTTAAAGAGCACTTACTCCTTGCACCCGTCACATCTCACCGACACTGACACGTGACGAATAATTTTGTGGAAACATAAAGGTCCGGTTTTTTGTTAGATCCAGGCACGGACCAAAAAAAAAACATTCCGGAATATGTTGCTCCCAAAGCAGAAAAACAATACAATCTTATACAACTGCGTAGAAACCGATGTCGTGGAATTGTTCTTAATTCGCGATGTTGCTAAAGGTTTTTTGCAATATGCTTAAATTACGCAGCTGAATTTTGTATACGTTGAGAGAAATCGATGATACAAAAATTCCTTTACTAATATGAATTCAACTATATAATGTAGGATGCATAATGACGATAATTTATATTATTCAAAAAAGTTATTGTAAGTATAAAAAGTTATGGCTATGCCAAAATCCATGACATAATTATGGAAGGTAGTCTCATTTGAGAAAATAATAATTGCAACCCTTTTTAATTTCTAACAGCCTTACTGTACAGTTTAGTGAACTGTACGTAATTTTGGAGTCAGGTAATCAGAGGTAAATACTTGTTTTCTAAGATTTCTATTTTTAATGAAGATGATAAAATAGGTTATTTATAACTCTCACGCAGTGTGTGTGTGCAGGTCTCAAGTGGAACGTCAATAGTGCGTTGGTAAATAGAAATAAAGATTGCTGCACACGGCGTGTTAATGGGTCACAACATAAGAGTGCATTGTCTGTGTGTATTTTTGGGTGATCGTAAATAAAGACCATAAATGTGTCCAAACCCAAATCTATTTACACATTCAATGTATGTATTTGAAATGCATTGTAGTTCTATGTATTAATATATATGTTTAGAGTTAAGAAGATATTTTAAATAAAATGAGTTCACCTCGAACCACGGAACTGTCAACACCGTGCGTTTCTTTTTTCTCTAGTTTCTCCCGTCGCACGTTTGTGATGAGATCAGGAGTCATCTCATCATTTGGTTACCCCGAGGTGATAGGCGCGTAGTGCAGAACAAACTACGTTGGTTTTTCACATAGTGTTAGTGACGTGATAGGCGCGTAGTAAAGGACAAACTACGTTGGTTATCGCTATGTTAGATATGCAGGTGAAAGCAACCCGTGCTAAGTCTACACGTATTGTGTTGGAATAGGCGCACTGTTGAAGCAAAGGCAGTGTTAGTCGTTTTTTTGTCGTGGTGAATACGTAGTGAAAAGTACTACCAAGGTTTACCCGACAAAATAGTTATAAGGGAATAGGAAGTCGAAGAAAGACTGTTTTTATCTCGTTAACATAGATGCTTTTCATAAGAAGAAAGATATATAATCGTAAAAATGAATTTTGAACAATTCATTCCACATCAAAGAATGTTGGGCGAATATATCTCTATTCATTTAAAACTGAACAAAATTGCTCAAAACGTGTGGCAGGAGAAATTTTAGAGAATTGTGTACGATTAGCAGATTCCTTCATAGAAGCAAGGAGGGAATTTTTGGATAATGAGGTGAAGCTTCATCGTATGGGAAAAGTTTTATACGAACATATCGTATTCGGTTTAGGAGTAAGATATGCATTTGACGAAATAGAATTAGGTATGTGGAAGAGGGGTATATTTGTCCCCTTAGAGGCTCCACAACTAGTAGAAGTAGCTACGTTGACAGTTTAAGTTCGGTAGAAATATGCCAAACTAAGGACATAATCCTCCTACCGACAATGAGAATAGACGATCTAGTTAGTACACTAGATCGTTCATTGTGTGAGTTGGAGGAAGAGATACAGAATGCTATTCGTTTTTCCTGCGGATAGCAAGCTCGCAAAATGGTTTCTTAAAATTTGTTTTCAAATTTTAGATAAAGAAGTAGGAAATATAGACGCACATCTTAAGAAAGTTAAAGAATTAGGGACGATTCAGACGGAGACGGAGGAAAATGGAAACGGTCACGTTGATGTTCCGCGAGTCGGTGTGGAAGTTGAAAACAACAAACCACAAATAACGCGTAAACTGAAGCATAAAATAATAACGCGAAAGTACAAACAATAGAGACTGCAAAGAAAAAAAATGCAGTTGAAGAAGAGCTGCCATCACGGAATATATATTATGCCTCTAGAGGAAATGTGCAGCAGATACCAGAGCCAGACACAATACTCACGGATAATGTTAATACTAGCGACTGGGAAGAAGCTGCAAAGAAAGTTGCTACTGAGAACCTGAAATGCCGTAGTGACAGTGCAGAGAAAACCACACCGATGACAAAGGTCACTGGTTCAGCGGTCGGCGCAAACGACGGCTGCCATGTAGTCCGAAATGCAACCGTTAATAAAGATGTACGGTTATCCAGAAAAAGAAAATCTAAGGGAGTTAAAAGGAAGCGTATGGAGAAAGACGTAAATGGCTACAACGAGGTAAAACCCAAGAGGTACAGGAAATTGACATCAGCAGTTGTGGGAATAGAAATGGCTTCACCGACGGAACAGGACGAAAAGAATGAAGCAGTATGGATATGGCGGGAAGAAAGGCTTGAAAATATTTTGCCTCATCTGAACGAAGAATCTGAGGAAATCGTCAAATTATATACCATATTATATACCTTGCACCCGTCACATCTCACCGACACTGACACGTGACGAATAATTTTGTGGCAAACATAAAGGTCCGGTTTTTTGTTAGATCCAGGCACGGACCAAAAAAAAAAAGAAAACATTCCAGAATATGTTGCTCCCAAAGCAGAAAAACAATACAATCTTATACAACTGCGTAGAAACCGATGTCGTGGAATTGTTCTTAATTCGCGATGTTGCTAAAGGTTTTTTGCAATATGCTTAAATTACGCAGCTGAATTTTGTATACGTTGAGAGAAATCGATGATACAAAAATTCCTTTACTAATATGAATTCAACTATATAATGTAGGATGCATAATGACGATAATTTATATTATTCAAAAAAGTTATTGTAAGTATAAAAAGTTATGGCTATGCCAAAATCCATGACATAATTATGGAAGGTAGTCTCATTTGAGAAAATAATAATTGCAACCCTTTTTAATTTCTAACAGCCTTACTGTACAGTTTAGTGAACTGTACGTAATTTTGGAGTCAGGTAATCAGAGGTAAATACTTGTTTTCTACGATTTCTATTTTTAATGAAGATGATAAAATAGGTTATTTATAACTCTCACGCAGTGTGTGTGTGTGCAGGTCTCAAGTGGAACGTCAATAGTGCGTTGGTAAATAGAAATAAAGATTGCTGCACACGGCGTGTTAATGGGTCACAACATAAGAGTGCATTGTCTGTGTGTATTTTTGGGTGATCGTAAATAAAGACCATAAATGTGTCCAAACCCAAATCTATTTACACATTCAATGTATGTATTTGAAATGCATTGTAGTTCTATGTATTAATATATATGTTTAGAGTTAAGAAGATATTTTAAATAAAATGAGTTCACCTCGAACCACGGAACTGTCAACACCGTGCGTTTCTTTTTTCTCTAGTTTCTCCCGTCGCACATTTGTGATGAGATCAGGAGTCATCTCATCATTTGGTTACCCCGAGGTGATAGGCGCGTAGTGCAGAACAAACTACGTTGGTTTTTCACATAGTGTTAGTGACGTGATAGGCGCGTAGTAAAGGACAAACTACGTTGGTTATCGCTATGTTAGATATGCAGGTGAAAGCAACCCGTGCTAAGTCTACACGTATTGTGTTGGAATAGGCGCACTGTTGAAGCAAAGGCAGTGTTAGTCGTTTTTTGTCGTGGTGAATACGTAGTGAAAAGTACTACCAAGGTTTACCCGACAAAATAGTTATAAGGGAATAGGAAGTCGAAGAAAGACTGTTTTTATCTCGTTAACATAGATGCTTTTCATAAGAAGAAAGATATATAATCGTAAAAATGAATTTTGAACAATTCATTCAACATCAAAGAATTTAAAACTGAGCAAAATTGCTCAAAACGTGTGCTCAAAATTTTAGAGAA